AATGGATCTGATAAGCCAGATGTCAAATTTTGTTTAATGAATTTAACTCTGTATTGTTCTAGAGCTTCATCAAAAGCTATATATAATACTTTAATCGCAATATTTAGTAGGTATAGAATTTATAGTATGGTAGCAAAGCTTGGTATCCAATTTCTTGACAAGCTAGAGCAAAATATAAACTATTATACAACTTGTAAGGTGTTAGAATTATTACATGCTGCTGTAGGAATAGCAATTTGCCTCCATTTAAATAGCAACAATATGCTATTAGATGTGGAAACTATATTCCCGACTACATTTCCTACATTCCCGTTAATCGGCTGGTGGATAAGTACTTGCCGACGCGAGCGTTTCTCCTCCTACTCTTTTGCTTTATTCGATCAAGTTGAGGACCCTATCATAAAAGATTTAGAATTTAGTATATTCTTTGACTAACATATCTCAATTCATTCGTTCTCCTGTCCCACCAGAAATCAGACAAACCTAGTAAGCTCATCTGTTCCCAGTGGGTCCAGTGCTGGATCAGCTAGTAGCCTTTAGCATCAGACAACCTAATAAGTCACCTGTGCGCCAACACCAGTTTTGTGGCTCAGCTAATAGCCTTGAATGAACTGGCAACCTAGTAAGTTTCCGTCACGCCACCATTTCCGTCTACATTCCAACAAAGTATTTTACTTTCCTTTTTATATTTGTCAAGGAGCAATTGTGCTCTTTCAGATCTGTCGCCTTGCTCAGACTCAACTATTGATTCGAGGCATTTAGTGTAAGAGTCTATTTTCAAATCAAACGACTCCAATTCGCATTCATTTAAAAATTCGAGAATACCCCAATCCTCAGGGTTTCGTTTGAAGTATTCGTGTGTTTTATTTTTATTATTCATGGATATGATTTTTTGTTAATCCTCTAAAGATGTGTCACTTTTCGAAGTGGTTTTGTCTTTCTTTATACATATGGGTCATGGACTAGGAAAACAGCCCTTTGAAGGGTAGTTTCCATTTTGAGAAAATGCCGATTATAGTTTGTGTTACCTAAATTTCTGTTGACAATCATTTGATAACAGTCAGGGAATATGTCACGTCGATCAATTTTACATAGTAGCGTTACACAAAAAATAATTACTTTTAGTTACTAATAAACTCGTAAAACTCACTAAATACTTGACTTTCGCGCATTAAGAAAACTTATTTTACAAGTTTTAATGCATTTATAAATAATATTTTCTTTATTCTAATATGTTTATTTTTTTAAACAATATTATTCGAAAGGACAGCTTAGTTTTTAACTTTTTTGCTCGCATTCTTTTCAAGAAAGCAAGTTATTGGATCTTTTTGAATCATGACCTCGTATGATTAGCAAGCTATATAGTTAATTATAAACACAAAGTGGGTTTCATTAATAAGTTTTTGTATTAAAATAAATTAAGGATTTTTCTATTATTAATTATACACGGGAAGTTCTATTAACTTAAGATCGATTAAAGCAAGAAATACGTAGGAGTCATGGACGATGATTTTCTGCGGCAATAACATCCGTAATAATTCTGCATTTTGCGCATACTAAATTCTGCATTATTTATATTGATCCCCTTATTGAGGAGATCAATATAAATAACGCAGAATTTAGTATGCGCAGAGATTTGCTGGATGTAGAATTATCACGGATGTTTATTGTCGCAGAAAATCATCGTTCCTAGTAGGAGTACAAGAAATTCGAGAATTATCAAGATTAAGTATAAGAACGTTCAATTTTAACTATTATTGACACCTGATTTTAAAAGACCCGACGTTACGTTGTTATAAATAATTTATTCAATAACCTTTATTAATTATATATTTTTAATTCTCTTTTGTAGTTAATAAATACTGTTTAGCTGAAACGTTAACTAGTTCTTTCACACGCCTTCCTTTTGTAACTTTCTTGGTTTTATAAACTTCTTCATGCAATATATTATACAATCGACCAAGACTAGTTCTATAAAAATTAAACATTCGTGTATAACCAGCTGGGTTCAATTCTTGTACGTGCTTGAAAAGATTATGCTGTTTAGGATCAGGAGAATTAAATGCGCTGGTAAGTTCTTCAATGAGTTGCCACAATGTTTCTGTGTATGGTTTAACTGCACGATCTCCAGTACTAACTATATTGTCTTCTACAAATTTATTGTAAAGCAACAACATTCTTTCACATTTATCTTCGATTGCTATTATTCATTGCTTCAGAATTAATGGATCTGATAAGCCAGATGTCAAATTTTGTTTAATGAATTTAACTCTGTATTGTTCTAGAGCTTCATCAAAAGC